AAATTCCGATAGGAACACCGTGGAATTTTTGTGGGTATTTCTAGTTTAAAAGAATGCTTGCGACAGTATGGTGATTAATAACACTGCCTCCTCGGTCATTCGCTAATTTTTTTTTTTTTTTACTGTGTTCTTGAGTAAGGAAAAGATAAATTTAGTAAATAAAAATGTATGGTATCATTTGCTTGAATTCTTGATTTTTTTTCTATGATAGTCTGGAAAAACCTATCTTCTAAAAATAGATCGTATATCTTCATGTTAAAATGTTCATCATGCTACTACTTAATTTCTCTTGCTGTCGTTGTAATGTTTTCCCCACTTTGTCTATTCTTAGACCAGATTGTTTTTTTTCTCATTCTCATTTTTTCCTTCTTTTATTTCCCGCTATTTTATTTTGTGATAACTTTCTTTTTCTTTTCTTTTTCTTTTTTTTGTCACTTTTTCTCTTCGCTCTCCTTTTAGCTTTCTCTCTCTTCTGTTTTTCCAGTGCAGTGTTCTTTAACTTCTCTTTCATTCACTCTTTGTTTGCATCTTTCTTCGTTTACATTTTGCGTTTACGCTAACTTCTTCTTTATGCCTCCTTTCTTTCTTTTTAACTTCTCTGCTGAATTCTTAGCTGTTAACGACTCTCTTTGAATTTTCTCGTTTTCAAATTGCCCATCGGTTTTTTTCATTATTCATTTATTTCATCTACTTCCATTTCTATTCTTCTATATATGCGTCTTCTATATATTGTTTTCATTCTCTTCTTCTATATAGTCTTTTTCATTCTCTTCTTCTATAAATTATCTTTCATTCTCTTCTTCTATATAGTCTTTTTCATTCTCTTCTCCTATATAGTCTTTTTCTTTCTCTTCTATATATTCTTTTTCATTCCATTCTATATATTCTTTTTCATTCTCTTCTTGTATATAGAATTTTTCATTTTCTTCTTCTATATAGTCTTTTTCATTCACTTCTATACATTCTCTTTCATTCTCTTCTTCTATAAAGTTTTTTCATTCACTTCTATAAATTCTTCTTCATTCTCTTCTTCTATATAGTCTTTTTCATTCTCCTTCTATATATTCTTCTTCATTCTCTTCTATATATTCTTCTTCATTCTCTTCTATGTATTTTTTCATTCTCTTCTTCTATATAGTCTTTTTCATTCTCCTTCTATATATTCTTCTTCATTCTCTTCTATATATTCTTCTTTATTCTCTACTTATTATTTCGTCATTCTCTTCTTCTATATAGTCTTTTTCATTCTCCTTCTATATATTCTTCTTCATTCTCTTCTATATATTCTTCTTCATTCTCTTCTATATATTCTTCTTCATTCTCTTCTATGTATTTTTTCATTCTCTTCTTCTATATAGTCTTTTTCATTCTCCTTCTATATATTCTTCTTCATTCTCTTCTATATATTCTTCTTCATTCTCTTCTATGTATTTTTTCATTCTCTTCTATATAGTCTTTTTCATTCTCCTTCTATATATTTTTCTTCATTCTCTTCTATATATTCTTCTTCATTCTCTTCTATGTATTTTTCTTCATTCTCTTCTTCTATATAGTCTTTTTCATTCTCCTTCTATATATTCTTCTTCATTCTCTTCTATGTATTTTTTCATTCTCTTCTATATAGTCTTTTTCATTCTCCTTCTATATATTCTTCTTCATTCTCTTCTATATATTCTTCTTCATTCTCTTCTATGTATTTTTCTTCATTCTCTTCTTCTATATAGTCTTTTTCATTCTCCTTCTATATATTCTTCTTCATTCTCTTCTATATATTCTTCTTCATTCTCTTCTATGTATTTTTTCATTCTCTTCTTCTATATAGTCTTTTTCATTCTCCTTCTATATATTCTTCTTCATTCTCTTCTATATATTCTTCTTCATTCTTTTCTATGTATTTTTTCATTCTCTTCTTCTATATAGTCTTTTTCATTCTCCTTCTATATATTCTTCTTCATTCTATTCTCCTATATTACTTCTTCATTCTCTTCTATATATTCTTCAATTTTTCTCCTTTATATTCATTTTCTTCTTCTACATATTCGTCTGCATTCTTGTCTATATATTTTACTTCATTCTCGTCTATATATTCTTCTTCATTCTCTTCTTTTATATGTCCTTTTTATTCACTTTTTCCATGCGCTTCTTATTCTCTTCTTATATTTTTCATTCTTCTTCTATACCCCCTTTTTTATTCTCTTCTATATCTCCCTTTTTCATTCTTTTCTTTTCTTTGTCTTTTCATTCTTATAATCTCTTTTTCTTCCTCTTTTTAATATCCCTATTTTATCCTCTTCTATTCTATTATTTTTCTTTCTTTTCTATATCCCTTTTTCTTCTTTTACTTTTCTTTCTACTGCTCTTTACTCTCTGCATTATCCGTTTGCCTCTCTTTTCGCACTTTCTTTCTTTCGTCTTTCTCTCCCTATATCCCTCTCCCTACAAAGCTACCTACTTCATATTTTCTCTTTATATTTCTTTCGCTCTCTCTCTCTCTTCTTGACGACATTTCTTTTTTTTCCCCTCTCAGTCAACGTCTCCAGATGTCGTTCAATGCCAAGCTGATTTTTTGCCAAAAGACCGGGCAGATGTTTTAGAATCAGAATAAAAAGTGCGCGAACTCAGTTAATGATACTTGAAACAGGAAGAATTGTAGATGTGAGGAATGTAGAGTAGCGAAAGAGGGGTAGAAAGAGACGAGGCCAACAGGGTATAGGTAAGACAACGTGAAATGGATGAGAGGCAAATTCCTCAAGAAGGTTCAATAAATAGAAAGAAATCGTCAAAGAAAAAAGAGAAACTAGGAGTGAGGAAAGAAGAAAAAAGAGGTAAAAATCAAATGAAAGAGAAGGAAAAAGAAAGAGAAAATCAGAGTTGAGGATCAAATAATACCAAATATTTTTTTTTAAAATATGACTGAATTTTTCATTTGCAAGGAATATGAGAAATGCAATATGAGATGCGGCTATATCAGGTTGAAAAACCAGTTCTCTTACGATTACCGAAGTTAAGCAATATCAAACCTGTTCATTATCTAGATGGGTAACCTCTTGGGAATACCAGGTGTAAGCTTGAATGTACGGGGGTGTAATGGATAACGGTTCGGAATTGTAAATCGGAGAGTCGAGTTCCAATTCCAGTCGGGTTCGTTATATTAAAATACCATATGGGCAAGATATGAATCCACCTCTTCTCTCTCGTCTATGGTTTAATTAGTAAATGTTTTAACAATCAAAATCATTATTAGCTCAAAAATTCTTACAATCTAAAAATATATTCTGGCTTTAAATAACCTGCAAAAGGTTGATAAGCTGTTAAAAAAGACAAATCAATCAAATCAGCATTACCAATTATTATTATTATTATTATTATTATTATTATTTACTAGTGTTGTTTTACTTAAATATTAGTTGTTTTTCATCACAACTACTCAGACCGCTACTCTACATCATCGGGAAAATTGGAAATTAATTTAAAGGTCTGATTTACCATCTTCTACCTACAAAAGTTCTGTTAGCTGTAGAACTGCCGTTTTAATAGGTCACAGTTGTAGAAAGTGCTACTTGTATGTCAATATTTTCTTTCTCGAGACTCAACAATATTATAACTTTTAATAAGAATAAATAGGTTCGTCTAGCGCCCGGTTCACACTCCACTCGGCCTTTTGAACAGGTGTAGAGGTTTATCCCTTTTTTTCTACTTAAGATTGAGTTTTCTATTCCTTCTAAAGTCTGCTTCAACTCTATATTTCTAAAATTTCAGCCTAAACTCTGAAATTTTATTTGCTACTTTTATCCTCAATAGGAGTAGATATGTTCGGTTGTCGTCTGTTTCACACTCCATTCCGATTTTTTTAACAGGAGTAGAGGTTTATTCCTTGTTTCCTGTTTAAGACTGAGTTTCTGATTTCTTCTAAAATCTTTTTCATTCCCTTTCACTCCCAGTAGTCATTTGCATCTTAGTGGCATTATCGCCTTTTTTGGCATTATTGATTAAAAAAATGGAAAAACCCAAACTTAGAAAGTAAGAATCATAACAATGCTCGCTACCATTCGACAACACATAATTTAATCCGTTAGCGCATTTTGGGCCGCTGTTGTCACCACTCACCCTATTTCTGTTGTAACTGTGGTTCATGGTGACATTCAAGGCAAAATAGGGCAATGGCCTGCCGGTTCCTTTTTGCACAGGGGATGTTGAGGTTAACCCGACCTCCCCAAAAAAGTTCCTTCGACCGCTTTTAAAGCCGTTGACCTCTGAAGGACATTTCCTACGCCCAGACTGGCGACTGGCCGATGGCCGCTTGGCATAGGTTGGTTAAGGAGAGGAGTTACCCTTCACCGACCAGCTCGGGAAATCCTTCCGACTACCCTCACACTGTTTAGCCAGCAGATCGATGCCGTTGACATTGGCCATCACAATGCCCATGCAGCTTTTTGGAGACAAGTGTGAGAGCTGGCTGTAGGCCTTAGACCAGTACAGTTCCGCATCCCAATTCACCTGAGTAAAACAGGTCGACAGCTTCCCTGCAAAATTACTACCACTGACGATACATCCCCCTTAATTAGTAAAATAATACGATCTGCAGTAATTATAAAAATATTTTGGACATAGTAATTTTCCCGTTGTAATTAATATATAGTGAAGTCTCCCGTCGAAAGCCATCCATAACAATTCTGTTTTAGAACTTCATGATTTCAGTATCGTGGTGAAGAACCAGCCATACTTTTCGGAAGAACTGATAAAAGGGGGAGAAAGATAGAGACACACCTTTCCCAAGAGTATTTGCGCAAAAATTAACGTAGCGAACGCTGGCAGAATTCGAACCTCGCTCGCCGATTTCTTTCCCACAACCACTAGGCATTACACTCCTCACACATTAATATATATCAAGCAGTAATAAACAAAATGACGTTTGGTCGTAAAGTTATATTAAGCAAAATAATCTGTTGTACAGGGATAATAATAATAATAATAATAATAATAATAATAATAATAATAATAATAATAATAATAATAATCTATCGAGCATTAATTAGTAAAATGATCAATCGGAAGGTAATAAGCAAAATGATAAATTGGACGATCATAAGCAAAATGAGTTATCAGGCTGTAATAAGCAAATTTACCTTCGGGCAGTACTTGATAAAATGATCTTTCAGGCCTTAATAAGCAAAGTAATATGTCGGGCTGTTATTAATAAAATGATCTGTCATGTGGTTGTTAGTAAAAGTAATAAAATTTAAAACTCGAAATATTGCAGTTAAAAAGTCCACTATCTTGAAAAATAGAAAATGACAATCGTATTACGTTAAGTTTTCTACACAAAGATAGAAATATAAAATATATTTTTTGAGTCTGAGTAACTGACAGGAAAAGTTAAAAGTGAATCTAAAGAAAATTAAAAAAAAAGCAAAATACATGTAATTTTTAAATGTTTAAACGAAGAAGTTCATAAAAGAAATTTCTACATATATAAGTTGTGAACAAATAATTCTTATTCAAATAAAGTTAAATAATTTCAGCCACACACACACACACATATATATATATATATATATATATATATATATATATATATATATATATATATATATATATATATATATATATATATTTCCCTATGTAATTCTATGCCAGTTCATTTATCTTGCAAGTTTCATTAAGGTAAATGCGAACCAATCATTATATAAGAACACAATGTTAGGACAGTTACGAAAGACATTCCAACCCAACGTTAAGTAACCCTGCTATACATTACTATTAATATTCTTTTTTTATTATTAAGGTCGCGTGGATTCTATGACAAGTCGTTAATGTTTCTTCATTAGAAACAACGGATGTTGAAAGCAATAAACTGACGGTAAAGCGAATTTCATAGCGTTTGTTCTTGGGCCGAATTATGTTGACAATGACAACGATAGCGAGGCAGAGTTGTGCTTTCAAACTAATACCAACAGTGTGGGAGCAAGCTGAGTTCGACAGCGGTAGACAGAAAGGAGTTGAAGTAAAGTGCGCAGGAAGTCATATTAAGAATATCATCGGTACATATAACGATAGATATAAATATTTATACCACTTATTTATGATGTGATCATTTTGCCGATATGGTTAAATTTAATAGATTAACTATCTCTACTAACTTCAGATCTAAAATCTCTTTTTGGCACCTTCTCGTTTGGTAATAGCGAGTCTAGCATGTCATAACCAGTGATAATGGTCATCAATGTGTACTCTATACTTGTGACCACATTCCAAAATAGCAGTTAAACTATTAGGTTGTCATACATAAAATGAGACATTTTTTCGTTGGTTGTTGATCCGGTTGTCTAATGAAGCAACCTCTTTAATATATAAAAAATCTTGACTTATTACTGACTCTTTTTCTTTCCAGATAATTTTTCTTTCAATATATTGTTACTCATAAGCCCAATGAAAACTATTACACTGAAACAATGTCGAGTAATCTTACTGTATCAATACAAACTGGGAAAAAGAACTATGTTTTGCATCGAATCATTACATACGATGAGAAATGGATACTCTTTGATAACCGTAACAGAGTAGGCCAGTGGTTAGATGCAAATGAATCACCAAAACAATACCCAAAACCTCCACTGGATCCTAAAAGGTTAATTGTTACTGTATGGTGGTCTTTCAAAGGGGTTATTTATTACTCATTCTTCCCTTAAAGGAAAACAATAACAGCAACGTCGCACTGTGAAGAAATTGAGTATATACAGGAAAAACTGAAAAAAGAAGCATCCTAGACTAGAATATAGATGTCCCAATTTTGCTGCACGATAACACACGGCCGCACGCTTCTCAGTCAACTGTCCAAAAGTTGCATAATCTGAATTATGAAATTTTTCCTCACCCTCCATATACACCTGATATCTCTTCTTCTGATTATCACATATTTAAGCATTTGGAGCTCTTCATACACTATAAAACATTCTCCTATAAGGAAGATCCAATCGAAATATTTGAACTCTTTATCATATCAAAAGATGAGAATTTGTTTTCAAGATGGGATCAAGAATTTAGACAGACGTTGAAGAACAATTATTCGTCAATATGGTGTCTATTTCAACTAAATAAATTAGTTATTTAACATTTCAGAAGCGTTTTATTCATTTCCTATAGGGTACATCATTTAATGTATGAAACTTAATACAAACATGACAGATATAAACAGTTTGAAAAGTAAGATTCTGTAGAAGTTTATTGTTAATATTGATATTTATACAGTCTTATACTTATTTTCTCTGCTAATGTCGTTATAAAAATCAACATTATTTATAAAATATATATTTAATGTATGTAACTAAAGACAGAAAGATTTCGTTAGAAACCTAGGAAAGAGTACTGAACTGTTATGTAATATCAGTCCTCCTATATAGTAGTGAATGCTGAACAATCTCCTCACATATGAAGAAGAGATTTAAAGTAACAGAAATTAGGTTCTACAGAAGAATGCTGAGGATACCATGGGCTGAACTT